GAGCCGCACTTGAATTATGGCTGAAAATTCTTTTAGCCATTCAGAATTTTTTGGTTTGTTTGTTTTCTACTCTTAATAAGCAACGGCAGCGAAACTTTTCAAGTGCGCAAAATATGCGCGAAAGGCACGCGATACGCTATAGAAGGCAGCCTTTCTGCAGGGGTGAGGAGGATTGAGTGGGAGGAGAGCTAAGAGAGTCTTGCAACAGCTGATGCTGCAAGCCAGCAATGAATACAAAATTAATGTAGGTCGAAATGGCAAAGCATGCGACTGAAACTGAAATAGATTAATTACAAGTAGTTCCACATTGAGCTCTGAGAAATTGTGGAGCAACCCGCAATGCTATACCCATTCCCGTTTGGCAAGCCCAACGAGGCAGCTGAGAGCTATTTATTTAGCATATGAAATTTTCGGTTTTGATATATTATCAAAAAGGGCAGCAAATGCTACTAACAATTGAGTTCATGAAAAGCAAAGAGAAAATATCGAAGAAAGTATGAAGGCTTTTCTCAGTGGGAGTGCTCGACTAGAAAATACCCCAAGCACTTTCAAATTTCAAAAAATATGTTTGAAAGCGAGATTATAAAAGTCATCTGTAATGAAGTTTATTAAAAGAACACTTAAAGCTTGATAATTATACTAGAAATTTCGACTTGAAACTTCATGAATTCTGATAAGGTAGAGAGTACAGGCAAAGAAAAGAGAGTAGACTAAGAGATGTAGAGATCTGTAGCGTACAGTTAATATTGTTATGCAATTAATGTTTACATTAAGACCACAATAATGCCTAATCAAACCAATAATCAGTCTTTTTGCACAACACCAGGTCACAATTGTTTATTTGTGATGTTCTTTTGCATTTAAATTGCTCTTTTGCCCTGTTTGGTTTTCCGTTTGGTATTTGCATAATCTGTGTAAGTAAATGTTTCTTAAGCAATGTGCTGCACATATTTCTGGCAACAAATCCTTTTTAAACTGCTTTAATGCACTTTGCCTTTTGTTTTGCCCGATGCAACATGCCACAAGCAGCAGCAGCAACAGCAGCAAGAAGTGAAGCATAACTGCAAACAGGACCTCAGCTAGTTGTATTTGTTGTGCCAGTATACCAAAAGAAAATATGCAGCTTGGCATCAAAAGAAACCAGGGAAGCAAGGAAAAAAGAAAAATATAGAAATAAAAATGAGCACTTGTTTGTTTGTCAACAGTTTGTACTGTGAGTCCTTTGTGGCCAGGCTAGTTTCCTGCCTAGTTGCCAGCCAGGCTGCCTGCCTGCCTGACTGCCTGACTGCCTGCCTGCCTGCATATGTTGTCAGCGCTAATCAAGCGCACATATGATAAACACACAACTCTATACTTATGCAAACACATATACATATTGTATATATTTATATAACATATATATATATATATATATATATATATATATATATATATATATGTGTGTGTGTGTGTGTGTGGTAGACACAGGCAGGACTTATGCAATTGTATTTGTTTAGCCAGGCTGGCGGGCTGAATTGCCTTGAGCTGTGATTCATCTCCTTCTTCGTGCAACGCTGGCATTCTGTGCATTTCTTTCAGCCGTCGTTGGCTTTCTGCACAATTTCACAGGCATTTTGCCTGTCGGCTCTCAAAGTAGGGTTCCCTCTTCTTCTTCTTCTTCTTTTGATTGATTTATGCTAATCCAGAATCCTTGGGCAATTATGCAAATGCACACAAGAAAGTTTAAAGGCATGCCAATTGCATATTCCATTAATAGGATTATGAATGCTCTTGTTTTGTCTCTAACATTTTGGTTATGAACTGAGCTGCACTATCTAGTGTAGACTGCGACTGCGACTGCTGTCTAAACTTGAAACTAACGAATAAAGTAACATTTTATTATGTCACTATGTCACACAGATACTCACACACGCAGACACCAAGACAGAGTTGACATGTTGACATGTTAAAGAGCATGTAAGTGAAGTGTGATGGAAGCTCGCAGATACAAAAAGCCCAGAGTAGTTGCATAGAAAGCGTGAGATACACATAGTTAGGAGGGTGTATAGTGTATGGCGGGTCTCGCTGCAGCCTCGGCTAGTCTCTTTCGTCTCGTCTTTGACTTGTCAGCTTTTATGGTTTACTTTTTAGTTAGTTAGCAAAAAAATATATACAAAACTTTTTCTTAGCATCTCACTTTCTATATCTCTCTCGCTCTCTCTCTCTCTCTCTCCTTCTCTCTCTCGCTCTCTGTGTGGCTGTGGCAGCCACTGTCTAGGTATTCTTTATGATGGAATTTTTAATGAATTTACTTTTAGTTTGGTGTCACACAGCATCTGCATACATGGAATATAGCATGAATGCCTCGGCATCATAAGCACTGACAGCTTACATATTTTCTTAGAAAATATATATGTATGTATATGTATATTAAAAACGTGCGCAAAATGAAAGGTGTAAATTTGTTTATAAAAGTTAACTTCTGCCTCACTAGCCACGTCTAGGCAGTCAGTCAGTCAGTTCGCCTTTAGTATTCCTCTCCAGACTTGCCGTAGATTCACAAGATAGGACATGACGTAGCATCTATTGTCATGTGTGTGTGCTTCTCTTCGTAAAGTGCAAACTCATGGACGGAGGTGTCTGCACAAGGAGGCGTGGCATGGAGCATATTTGCAAATTGAATGCGACAAGTCAAGTGCTGTGAATTTAATTTCCATTCACATTAAATTAGATTAAAATGAAACAATGAAATAAATATTACATCTGAGTGTTGAAAGCCAGCTGAGGTAAAATCAAATTAAGTGGAAATTCCTTATTTTTTTTCTAAATCAATGGAAATATATTGAAATTGTGTTAAGTTTGGCAAGGGAAAATGTCTAATTGAACGAGAATTCAATTTGTGCCTAGAAATGTTATTTTTAGTTTATAATTTGCTTATGCTACAAATATATTCCAAAAGATGTTGCATTTCTAAATATTATTTCTTAAATATTAATAGACAAACAACATTTTCTAAAAAAGTAAATACATTTAAACATCTTAAAATGCAATACACAAATTTATGATTTTAGAGATTTAGCAGTAGGAGAAAAATTCATATGTATTTGTTTATGTTTTTTTTTAAATCGTGATTGACTTTAATTTAGCCGTTGGCTTGAAGAAATGCAATTTGCCATCTAAATGGAAACTCAAGCACCGTTTCCCTAGCAGCTCCACCTTTGCTCTTATCGTGTGGACATAAATCTGAGCGGTGCAATCTACGTTAAGCCGGTTGCTGTTAAACTTATGTTTAAGTTCAAAATTAGTCGAAAGCTAATTAACGATAAGCGTTTGGCTGTTGCCCGAAGCTTAAGCCAAGGCCCAAGTTTGCAGCAGTCGAAAAGTTTTAATGCATTTATCGAATGACTCGGGTAGCAGCAGCTAAGTGCATATTATCGGGCATCTATTTCAATTTCCTGCAGCAATTACAAGCTTGTTCAGCCCCCCGCCCGGCGCTGCCCTGACGAATGTACTCCCCCCGGACCAGGTCGAAACCAGTTGCTGGTTTTACGTAGATACTTTTACATGCTTGTGGACGGCACGTAGCGCCCACGCGGCTCGACCTTTAGCCTGGCGTAGTTCAAAGGCGAATGCTGCCAAATTGACTTTGTGTGCGCTCATTTCGTGCGCGAGAATTTAGGGAAATTTTTCTCAATTTACTCTCACCGCGTGCGCACACGCGCTCAGCCAAACCGGTTTTCGAGTGAGACTCAAGCAATTGAGTTCGAGTCATGTTTGAGCATGATGACTGAGTCAAAGAGAGAGAGAGAAAGAACGAGCGTGTGTGTGGGAGCGGGGACTGCCAGCTGAGCAATGCATTTGTTCCACTTTCTGAGCACGTTTTTTCGGCCAACATATCACGAGAAACCTTTGTGCATTGAGTTTTGCTGTCCGGCTTTTGGTCAGCATTTGGGTTGCAGCTGAAATGAGGCGTGCCCAGGACATTCACGTTCTTGTCCCATCCTGCTTTGTCCTGGTTACCAACGACATTGGGGCAGGAAGTACTGTGGCATCCCAAGGGACACATAATGGCCGAGATTTGAGCACTAGCTCCTTTTTCTATTTATATACATTTTTTAGGGCATTTTAAGAAAATTTGCCATTCTGTTGAATAGAAAATTGTTAGCGAATTTTTCAGAGCTCATAAATAATTTATATTTAATTCTTTTATAATATAAGCATTTTTATATGCAAGCAAAAATTGTATAAAATTAATTTTTGATATTAAACTTTCTTTTGAGTATACAACATTGTCTTAGCAATATGAAAGCTTGGGAATCTTCCGAATCATTTAAGCTGCTCAGCTTTGTTTATGCTTGGAGTACTCTAAGCTTCGAACGAAACGCTGCAACGTTTATAAACTGGTATCATGTTTTCCTGCTGCATGGCTTTGCTTAGTTTTTGGCCATAAATCCAGGACGTAGCGTTGGCTTATCGAAATCCCTGTCCGCCCGCTGCTCATTATAAGCACACGCATAAGTTTTCGTTGCTGCAATTTGGTTTTTGCTTGAAAAAGTCGAAAACTTGAAAACTTGGTAACTTTAAACGCCTCGAAATGCGTCACGAACGTGACTGGAACGAAGTTTTCTTTAAGCAAAAAACTAAAAGAGAAATAAGGCGAACGTCTTTTGTCTTTGCAGGCCAAAAAGGCAAACGATTCAAACTGGGTCAGCAATGAGGACGTTGAACATTTAAAAAAAACATGCGGCAAAAATTGCAAAACGCTTCTTTAAGGCAAAGCATTTTATGGCAAGGCAAGGCAAGGACTTGAGGAGTTTAACATTCTCAACTCAGTTCCGAGCCGGAGTTGAGTGAGCTACAGAAGTGAGCGTGAAAATATCCCCGAGTGAGAGAGTGTGAGAGGGTGTGTAGCCACTGACTACAGCCGGCACTCTCTGCGTGTGCATTCCACTCGTTGCGTGTTGGGCACAAACTTTACCTTCCGCTCGCAGCACGAGAGACAATTCAGTCAACAACGAGCCGCTCCAGCGAACGGACGCAGTGCGCGGGCCAACCAAAAATATACAATATTCGTATTCGAGAGTTCGACCAATGACTATTTATAGACTCCGTTTTGTTTACGTGTCGTGACGCGTGTGCCAACTTCACAACGTTAACAACAACAACAACAACAGCAGCAGCACAACAATAGCAAATCAGTGTTGAAGTGACAAACAGTTAAATAAAAAGTAGAAGCAAGTCACAGCCATGGCAGCCATCTCACTAACCAGCACCACGGATTATCCGCTGCCAGAGACAACAACGAGCAGCGGGGAGCTCTATGCGGAGTTCATCTCGGCACCGGCTAGCAGCATGAGTCCCGCTGCCATCGCAGAGCACATGCAGCAGAATCAAATCACATTCGAGATACCCACAGCGCACGATCTGCGCCACATCGACGCGCTGCATTCGTTCAATACGCTGCTGCAGCGGATCGGCAATGCGGCCGTCAGCTACGACTCGTCCCCGCCGGCCAGCATCAGTACCGAACAGCTGTCCAATTCGGTAGTGCTCGATCTGGCTGATCTGCGGGAGCACAATGCCGATGCCGATGCCAATTCCACCTGGGAGCAAATCTTTGGCGATGCCGACATGCACGCCATTGTCAACTATCTGTGGATTGGCGTTGTCACCTCGCTGGTGGTGCTCTCGCTGGTGTTCATCATGTTCAGCTGCTACTTCTATCGCAAGTTCAGGACATGGAAGAAATGCAGTAAGTACTCGTAGAGCAACCCTCGATCTGCCCCCTGTTTATGTGCTGACTTTGTGACTTTAATCAAAATGTGGGTTTGTTTGGAGACGGGGGGCACGACCTTATCAACGGCCATTTATCCAGCTGTTTTTGCTGCCAGGCTAAACAATATAAAATGCAGAAAAGCGACACCCACACGCCCCTCTGTTATGGCCGTGAGTCTCATAAATTTTGGCGCGCTTCGAAATTGTCAGCCGCTTCGCATTCCCATGGCTTTGGCTCTTGTAATTTTAGATACACAAGTTTATGATGCCACAAAATATATGCGCTGCATATTTATAATATTAAACTGACCCAGCAGCCCCGCCTCCACGGCGCCCCTTTTATGAGCGTGATAATGTGGAAGCTGTGCGAAATTTGTTTCTCTTTCAACATTTTATTCGGCACAGAGAAAGGCGTGAAATCGTCTGTGGCAGGGAAGTGGACAGTGATAAAAACAAAAAACAAAGTGGCTGAGTGATATATGGACATTATTATAATGGGGTAATTCACTCTTATCTCAGTTGCAGCAGCAACAACAGTAGCAGCAGCTGTAACAGTAACAGGCAACAAATAGCATGTAAGAAATATAGATATATTAGTTGATAAGCTTTCGAGTCGCTTGGCCAAAAGTTCACAAAGTCTGGCTTAAGCAACAACTTGAACTAAATCCAGTTATTGGTCGAAAACCTGTTGCTTGCTTAGCTCGCTTCGACTAAGAGCTTTGAAACAAATAACGAAAAGTAAATCATATGCTTAGGCACTTTACACATAATTAGAAGCAAACGAGCTGTGCACACCCACACACCCACACACACATACACACACGCAGGCAGAACCTGGGCCAACTAGGAGAGTACGAAAACTAAACAAGTCTCAACTCGAGTGTCAAACTTTTTGCAGACCAATTTAGCCAAATGATTTATTTAGGCCAACAAAGAGAGCAGGGACTGAGCCAGAGAGCAAGAGATCGAGAGGGGCGGGGCGTGTGTTGTACAAGTTGTGAGGCGGGCCAAAGGCCGTGGCATTAAAGTATGGCCAACTCAACTGTCAAACTGTCAATTTCGTGCTAACGAGCCTTAAAAACTTTCCGCCCGACAACAATGTTGGCCAACGAGGAAAGAGGGATTTTGGCTAGTGGCAAGGGCCGGGCACTACGTAAAATATCAATTTGAGCTTTGAGCGATATGTGTGCTGCCCGCTTTTTTGGGCGCCTGTGCGTCTAATTAGTTTCGTTAGTGTCGTGTTTGGTTTTACTTTCTCGCTTTTTTCGTATTACGTGCTACGTGTTAGACTGGCCTACATAGATAGCAACTAGACCGTGCATACACTTACACACACACAGATATAGCTGTATATGTATCGAGTGTGTCTCGCTGTGGTTGCTGCAGCTCACTGTTGGCTCTGCCACACGTGTGTCATTTATAATTAAGCAACTTTGGCTTAAGTTTGCTCGATTTTCGTAGCACGCTTTTCTGCGTTTAATGCCCGCTACGTGTGTTCCGCCCCCTCGTTACGACCTACCTGTCTGCCTGCCTGCCTACAAGCCACTTCTTTGTTGTCGCTCCACACAGAGTGTGCTTACCTTATAAATACTTAACGAGCCGTAGATGCCAAGCAGCCTCTGCCTTGGTCTTACAGTTTATTTATTAAGCTAGGATATACTCATACACACACAGCCACTCACACACACACACACACATACACGCGCACACACTTACAGTATTTCAGCGTGTAGCAAGTTTTTGGCTTGTTATCAATTAGAGCCGCACACAACTGAATTTATTAACAGGACAACAGCCAGCGGCGCCAGGCACTTGTGAGTTAAAGCGAAACAGGACGAAACAGGACCTGCTGCCACTGTTTATTATGTTGTATAGGTTGTGCATAATTTACTTCCGTTAAAAATGTAATTAAGCGTAGCACAAAATTTTCCCTCGTTCTGGCCCCAAAAAAAAAAAAAAAAACTAATGGCCACAACTTTCTCTTAGCTCTGCGAGCCTTTTCAATTTTTAATGGCTTTTGTGGCAGGACGCAGAACTAGCTCTAGTTGCTCTCCACTATAAGTTCATATAACTGTGTGTGTATGTGTATATTTTAGTTACAATGTTTGTTGGCTTTTTGGTTTTCAGTTAGCCCAACGTAAATTGCGAGTTGTAATTAACCAAATTGTTTTGTTGCTCGACAGCGTTTAGTCTGCGCAGTTTGCTGGATTGAACAATATTTAATTTGACTTGAGCTCTCCAGCTTAATGCTGGGTAATTCGGTATACGCTGCAAAAAATAGCAGCGCGATAGCTGCAAAATTTAATTTGAGCTGCCCCACTCAACAATCGGCTTTCATTGACATCAGCTGCGAAACCGATTAAATGTAATAAAAGGCGCCCTCAAACCGTTGAGAGTGTTAAAAAATTAACAGGCATTTATGAAATGCAATATATAAATACACACACACACACACACACACACACACCCACACACTCTCAGATGTAAAAGTAAATATAAAACAAAAAGCAAGACAACAGCGAATGGAGCTCAATTGTTGGACTCTTCAGCATTCGTCAGCTCATTGCAATGAATTTAAATTGTTGCATACATTGGGGCGCATCAGCCGAAATGAAAAAACATGCCACAAATGTAACAAAAGCCAAAAACAAATGGCGTGCTAATTTTTTTCCCAGCTACTGCAGCTGCCAGCTCTGCTGCTTCCTTCCATTTCTTTTTTTCATGCTGTAGACTGCCCCAACACTTGCATAAAATATGAATCCCATGGCATGTGTGGCTGTGTGTGTGTATGTGCCACGCCCACTGCGGGCTCCTATGTGCTTGGTCGTGTTTGCCGTCTGTCTATCAAAAAATAAAACAAAAGTCAAATGGGTCTCTGTGAAAGTCCTCGGCACCCAAAAATATACGAGCTTGCACTACAGTTATAACAATAAATCAACAACCGCCGCCAGCAGCACAGTGACTGCTGCCAGTGCGAGTGCGAGTGCTACTCTTACTGGGCTCTGGCCGTGTGACTGCTGCTGGGTTTTAATATTGTAATGCGCCAATTTTTTGCTGTGCCACGCCTCCTCGTCTTCTCCGAAAAAAAGGCGCAGTTGCTTTAATGGAAAACCATTTGGCCAAAATATTTGTGAGTACACAACAAGCCAAAAAGTGAATTATACAAAAAAAAAAATTAAATTCAATTTAAATTTATAAAAAATAAAAGTAAAACAGAAATATAAATAATAATTGCTTACGTTGACAGTAATAAAAAACGTCGAAGCTTTTTCGTATTCGTATTCAATTGCAAAAGGTGGCTTTCATTTAATAAATGCAGCTTAAATTGCATTTAATAACCGCAACAATTTGTGGCACGGGTAAACAATAAAAGCCACCTTCAAATTGATAAAAAAGAAGCTTAAAATTATTATGGCGTACATCAGGATAAGCCTCTGTTGAGCGCTGTTTCCACGAACCATTCATTTTATGCACTTCAAATAAGCTCTCGCTCAGGTTTGAAACAGAGTGGCTTAGCTTTAAGGCAACTTTTCTTTTAAAGATTGAATGAAAACTCTTGAAAATTGAACATTTCGCGTTGCATACTTTTTGGGACGAGCTTTTCTCTACATTGCTGCATCTTCTTTAATATTTATTTCTCTCTTTTCGTAATTCGTATTTTCGTTTCATTTGTGCCACGCGCGCACTTCCGGCCAGCTTATTGCCAGCGTGCTGTTGTTGTCAGTCAGTCGAATGGACTGACGGACGGACGGACAGTGTTGGTTGTTGTGCATGGGAAACTTTTGCCTGTCCGGCCAAACTCGCAGGCATTTCCGGTCGGCACAAAAGTTTTTTCTCTCTCTTCTTTCAGTCGGTTTTATTCTGTTTATTTTTTGTTGTTTTCGCATTTTTTGTATCTTTTCAATAAAAGCTCGAGAGGTTCCTGTTCATGTCCTGCCATTCACAAAGTTCAAGCGTTTGCGCCTTTACGCTAAATTGAATTTAATGGCAAAGTCCTTTCACTGCCCCTCAATACCAATCCAACAAGTGTCCTATGTGTGTGTGGGTGTGTGTGAGTCCCAACAAACAAACTAATGAGACGTTTGTCAAAGTCAAAGTCAAAGTTGGACAGACGGAACAGAAATAGCTAAAATAGAAACAAAAACAAAAACTAAACAACTTTCTACCTCTTTTCGTATTTGCAGACAAGGACATACGCGCACAGCTACATGCGGCCAATGACTCCTACTCCTCGCATGGTGCCAGTCATCACCTGATCAGCTGCGACGCAAGCCGATTATTGCAGCAGGTGCCTGGTACTGGCAGTGGCAACGGCAGTTCAACTGGCGGGGGCAATGAAGCGGGCTTCTATCAAATTGAATCGCCGCCCTGTTATACAATTGCCACCGGACTGCCCAGCTACGATGAGGCGCTGCATCATCAGCCGCGCCATTTTGCCTACGGCATGAAGTTTGTGTACCCCAGCCTGGCGGCTGTGCATCATCATCATCATCATCACAATCACAATAATCAACGTGCGTGCATTAGCGGCTGGGCAAAGGACGCAGTGCAGCAGAGTTCAAAGAAGCTGCAAAAGTGCAAACTGTCAGCAACAGTCGATCAGGCGCAGACACAGATGCAAATGCAGGCGCAGGCAGAGGACAAAGCCTCGCCAACCATTTGCATTAACATGCCGGATGAGCAGGAGCTGCGGAATGAGTTGGGACTGGGACTGGCGCTGGGGCTGGACCTGGAGCATCGAAATGAGGCGTCCACAGCTGCGTCGACAGATGCAGCACAAACTTTGCTGCCGGCAGCAGCTGCCGACGACGATTGCGCTTCATTGGTAGTTGTTGTTGCCGCGTGATTGCCCAGCAACTAAAGAGCCAACAGAAATGGAAAGGGACAGGGAATTGAGTTGGGGTTGGGGTAAGGGGGGTTGGGAATTGGGTATTGGGTATTGGAGCTTGGGCATAGTTTGGGGTTAGAGATCATGCTTACATGCTTAGTCACTTGTAAATAGCTGTGTCGTCTGCCCCCACCTTCAAATTGGATGAGTCTAAGTAGAGTCCTATATAGAGCAACTCACTCGACCACAAAGAAAAGAAAACAAATCCTATAGCCTCTATGTGTAAAAAATTTAATTTCGTTTTAGTTATTTGTTATATATCATGTATTATGCAAGACTGAGTATTATTTATTGTATCTATAAAACGTAATTTAAACAAATTGCCTATCGATTATGCCTAAATGTTAATATAATAATATCGCAAAACATATTAAAATATAATGCTAGAACACACGATTCAAGCAAATCAAAATTTAAATAACAATTTTTCGTTTTCTTTACTTTTATACTTTCATTATTATTTCAAAGCAGCTGCTGGATAGACCTCATTCACGACTTGCCTCAGAGTAACATAGCTGAGATATTTGAGTTCTGTTTGTTGTCCTTGAAATTGCGAACGTGATGTTGACCCAAGGCACGTGAGTGGTCCCAAGCTGTCTGTGGTCTACCTAGTAAACAGATAATTTGACCAAAAACAATAACTGGCCAAGATAATCAAGATATGAGCATTGGATCAACATGTTTGCACAGCCTAATGCCAGCCAATCAACTTTGCACACAGTACTAGTCAGAAGAGAGCCTTAAGAAAAATTAAATTTGTTATGCGCATTCGATTTTATATTTATTTCTATTAATCAATACAATGTTAAAAAATTGGTTTCAATTGCAGTGGCACCTCTTGATCAAGCACAGTTAGCTCATAAAATGTTGCAGTTACTACAGCTACATATAAGTAGTGAATAAATAAAAGAAATACAGAAAGAAACTAATTACATACATATACGGAAGCTAGAATCTAAAACAAAATGAACTTCATGAATTAATTAAATAATGAAATTAATAAATAAATATTGTCAAGTATGGTAAACAAATATAACGAATCTGAATCGAAATAGTAATGTCTCTTAACTGTTATTTGGCCGACTCGAGGGAACCTGAATCTGAATCGGAATCTGAATCTGAATCTGAATTTGAATGTATAACCATATATTGTTCGCTCACGTGTTGCCATAAATAATTTCATGTCAAATTTGACACTTTTGTTGGAGCTTGTGTGCTTTCCAGCTGGTAATGCTGCAATTTGTATTCAAATGTACGATTTGTTGATGAGTCGACGTGGGACTGCCCGACTGTCCGACTGACAGTCGAACGGACAGGCGGATGAACGTTGTAACACGCCGCATCAAACATAGCAAAACGCAGCGGAGCAACAAACACCAAAACAGGGCCATAAATTATATTATCGTGCATCGTGTATCTGGTTCAGGTCACAGTCATGAGTGACTGCCAGCTACACTTAACTGAACAGAGGAGGGGAGTGGCGATTGGGGGCTCTGAAACCTGGTAATGACATTAACACCAGCAGCAGTTGCAGTCAACGTTGGGCTTGGTGCCGCGGTCGTGTTTTACGTTCTTGCCATGATTTGCTGCAAAGCACAACAAAAATAAGACGTAAGGCAAATTTGCCTTTTTTAAAGTCGACCATTGAATGCTCTAATGAAATAGAAGCTCCAAGGATTCACTTTACAAACCTGTTCGCAGTGAGAAGACACCTCGGCACAGGCTGGATGTATCGATTCGGTATTCCCAAATTGAAAAATCAAATATGGTCTATATTAAAAATGTACATGCATGTAAATGCTTATATAGACCCTTGAGAATCGATTAGAAACTTCGAAACCAGAAAAATATTGATACTAACTTTATTTATACAGTTTTGAAATATTTAGAATAAGATTTGTATTATGATATTTATATCTTCTTCTGAGCTCTTAGAGTATATTCGAACTGTAAATGCATCAGGATTCGCAAAGATAACCGATGTGGCTCTGGATACGTGTACGCACGTTTAAGTATGTGTTATGGGTATGTAAATGTATGTTTGAATGTATGTTATGAGCAGTACAAGTACGTTTTTATGGGGTCTGCACGTGTGTTGGCCTTAATTGACCGAACGGTTTTTATTTTGTTTTTTTTCTTTTTTTTTTTAAATGGAGTTCATTGAACAGGTTGTTTGGTTTCGGCTTTGCAGAGTGACAAGTCATTGGGATCACTCGTTTGTGAAAATAACACGAGCTTATTGTGAGCATGCAATTAGCTAATATTATTGACATATATAGTATCTGTTAACTGACAATTAAAGTTATATGTTATGCTTTATATAGTACATTGTGAAAGCAAAAAGTAAATGAATAATTCGACAGCTCGAGCAGTTTTACAGCTAATCCGTCACCTCGTTATCCAGATTCTGGGCAACATTACTTTTCTTTTGGTATCAGTCGGGCTGGGGACACCAATACGAAAACCTCCAACTTTAACTTTACCAAGTACCCCACCAGGGTCATCTCTATTTACGTCATGATCATACTCAATTAAACGACTTTCCGCGCCTGGTTCAAAGTATCTTTCTGCATAAGGTATTGCATTTGCTCCTGCGTATTTACGTCGAACTGAACCTCCAATTGCATCTGCGTTAGCATCAGCTAAATAAGAACTACCAACAACTTGTTTACCCCCAGATTTATCAACGTTATCAGCAGCATCTGGGAAAATATAATAATAGACTTCTCTGTAGAACCTAAATTCCCAATTTTTTTTTCTATTACCTCTGTCGTATATTTGGCGAACTTACCTCCATCTATAGCTACGTTCCTGCCATTATAGGTATCAATAGGTAAGTGGACACCAACTGCGTCAACTTCATTGGCGAATTCGTCCACGTGAAAATCTCTAGCAGCACCTCTAACTTTATCTTTATCAGCATATTTTATAGGATATTTTTTGTCTTGTATTCTGGGCTCATCTAATGCAAAGTCTATGTCACTTAAGTGATCTGCTTTGTCCTCTTTAAATCTGTCATTGCTAACATATTCATCTCTACCAGCAAGTTCATCTGCATGTTGCCAATTGCTATCAGCAGCATTTCCTGCACCCCGATTAACATATACAACCGAGTCTCTACCTCGCTCTTCTAAATAGCTTCCTCTACTATAGCTTTGGCCTAGCCCACTAATTATCTCCTTTTGTTTGTCTTTGTATTCTTTAACGAAATCCCTGTCCCTGTTTCGAGCAAACCATTGCTCTTGTTCTAGACTACGTGTTAAGCCGCTGTTTTTACTATTACTTGTAAAGCCTGAAAATATAATAATGTCTAAAGTTGGTCCGCTTGTAGTTTCTTTATCACTATTTTTTTTTTTCGCCTTTGTAGATTTTCTTTGCGTCTTTGTAGTAGTATCAGTAGTAGTAGTATCAGTAGTAGTATCAGTAGTAGTAGTAGTAGTTGTAGTTGTAGTAGTAGTTGTAGTAGTAGTAGTAGTTGTAGTAGTAGTAGTAGTAGTAGTAGGAGTAGTAGTAGTAGTAGTAGTAGTAGGAGTAGTAGTAGTAGTAGTAGTAGTAGTAGTAGTAGGAGTAGTAGTAGTAGTAGTAGTAGTAGGAGTTGTAGTAGTAGTAGTAGTAGTAGTAGTTGTAGTAGTAGTAGTAGTAGTAGTAGTAGTAGTAGTAGTAGTAGTAGTAGTAGTAGTAGTAGTAGTAGTAGTAGTAGTAGTAGTAGTAGTAGTAGTAGTAGTAGTAGTAGTAGTAGTAGTAGTAGTAGTAGTAGTAGTAGTAGTAGTAGGAGTAGTAGTAGTAGTAGTAGTAGTAGGAGTAGTAGTAGTAGTAGTAGGAGTAGTAGTAGTAGTAGTAGTAGGAGTAGTAGTAGTAGTAGTAGTAGTCGGAGTAGTAGTAGTAGTAGTAGTAGTAGCAGTAGGAGTAGTAGTAGTAGTAGTAGTAGGAGTCGTAGTAGTAGTAGTAGTAGTAGGAGTCGTAGTAGTAGTAGTAGTAGTAGTAGTAGTAGTAGTAGTAGTAGGAGTAGTAGTAGTTGTAGTAGGAGTAGTAGTAGTAGTAATAGTAGTAGTAGTAGTAGTAGTGGGAGTAGTAGTAGTAGTAGTAGTAGTAGGAGTAGTAGTAGTAGTAGTAGTAGCAGTAGTAGTAGTAGGAGTAGTAGTAGTGGGAGTAGTAGTAGTAGTAGTAGTAGGAGTAGTAGTAGTAGTAGTAGCAGTAGTAGTAGTAGGAGTAGTAGTAGTAGTAGTAGTAGTAGTAGTAGGAGTAGTAGTAGGAGTAGTAGTAGTAGTAGTAGTAGCAGTAGTAGTAGTAGGAGTAGTAGTAGTAGTAGTAGTAGTAGTAGTAGGAGTAGTAGTAGGAGTAGTAGTAGTAGTAGTAGTAGTAGTAGGAGTAGTAGTAGTAGGAGTAGTAGTAGTAGTAGTAGTAGTAGGAGTAGTAGTAGTAGTAGTAGGAGTAGTAGTAGTAGGAGTAGTAGTAGTAGTAGTAGTGGGAGTAGTAGTAGTAGTAGTAGGAGTAGCAGTAGTAGTAGTAGGAGTAGTAGTAGTAGCAGTAGTGGGAGTAGTAGTAGTAGTAGTGGGAGTAGTAGTAGTAGTAGTAGGAGTAGTAGTAGGAGTATTAGTCGGATTTGCTTGCCCAGCTGGCTGTCCAATAGTGGTCATATCTTTATCTGGCATAGTCGAAACTATAATCCAACTATTGGGCGTGAAAGGCTTCACTAAGATTTGCCAATAGAAAGTTAACCAATATATAATGAGAAAGTCATGAAATAGAATTAACGATCCCAGGAAGGCGTCATTTAGCCTCATCTCGGCGAATCGACCGCCAGTGATGGTTTGAGTGTGGTACATAACAAACTGAAAAATGTGCGTCATGCGTAGGGCTATATAATAAAGTAAGTTAAATAATAATATTTAGCGACTTACGAACAATATGATCACGCTAATAGAGATTTCGAAGGTTAGATATGAGTAGTGTCCAAGCACGGGTACAACGAAATGCACCATCAAAAAGAATATTCCAGCTGCCAGAAAAACAAAAGCCATAATGAAAACTACGGCTACATCTAAGGTGAGGTCAGCCTGAAGGATATATATGACATGAATCAAATAGACTTAAGTGAAGAAAAAATACACAATTTCACCCACGCTTCTGGGAAGAATCGAAGCTATTACAATAACAATCCAGAGAAGGAAAAAAGTAAGCAAATAGAATACCATCAACTCCAACCAGAAAGAGCGAGCGGCAAATGCAAACACCGCAACAATTTGAAGCTCAACCTTAAATACATATAAGGATATTATGGGATTGGCAATGACAGCTTCTAATCGTTACTCACAATTACTAAGCAGATAGCAATGTTGACTAGACTTATGAATCGCAGCCTCTCAACGAATATAAATAAACCAAAAATGAAACTTGCCACAACAAATGCAAGAAGACTGATATAAAACTTCTCAACAAATGTATCCTTCGCTCCTTCTCTGCATGAAAAAAAAAAACAATATAAATCAGTTAGGTTTTTAGAAGCGTGTAAAAATATCGTACTTACATGAAGACCACCATTGCCCACTGTATAAGAGCCAATGCCAGCCACATGAACAGCATGGCGTAAACTTTGAAGGAAAACGCTTGTCGGGCTCTCTTATAGTACAAATAATTCTGGTATGTGGCACTCATGGCTCCATTTATTGGAGAATTTTACGGCTTACTATCTTTGTTTGGACTTACATATACCAAAAATTTTGTGCAAAAATCACAAGTATGGAATCAACAACTATATTTGGAAAGCAAAACAATAACTAACATAAAATCTTCATTGTGTATATATCTGACTGAAATCGAACTTAGACTATGACCAAAAAAAAAATAATCCAAGCAAAGATTGCTTAGACTGTAGTTAACAGGCAGAGCATTTATTTAAATAGATCTTGCTATAAAGTTAATTTAAAAAAAACGATGTCTTGAGGTTTTCATTATTTTTTATTTTCTTTCTCACATTAATAGTATTCCTCATATGTTAAAATTATCATTAGCTGTGGATGTTGTTTGTGTAATACTAAGCCATGTGATTTTCGTCCTTTTAATTGGCCATACTTTTATCTGGTTCAAGGACGTATTCTTGAGCTGATTGATCTGGATCTTTTAATGGAATATCTTTTTCATTGGCGTCGGGTTCAAAAAAATAAGGCCACTTGTCTTTGGAGGGATTCGGGTCCGTACTCATGTCATCCTTCATAAAGTCGAGGGTTATCGGTATCTCAGTTGTTTCGTCATTTGACTTTATTTTATGTCGAAACTTTCTATGTCGCATATTGAAGAAGTCATCTATAAATATCGAAAAGATCTATTTGAAATATGCTTAAAAATATTTCAGAATCCAATTAGCTTACTCAATTTAAAGGCATCCATGTCATACACTGGATTAAACTTAGCTTGAGCTGCATGAGCGATTGTTGTTGATGTTGTCGTTATCATTAGATCATCCCAATAAGGAGGCCCCATTAGAGTGCCAAAAAATTGCCAATAAAGTGTTAGCCAGTATATGATCAGAAAATCATGGAATAAGATCAGAGATCCAAGACAATAATCATGCAGTCGCATCTCCGCGAATCGGCTGCCGTTAATTGTTTGTGCATGATACATAACAAACTGTAAGATCTTAGGATATAACTCATGCAGACATTAATTAATTCGCGCAACTTACAAACATCATGGTTATTGTAATGGGTATCTGAAATAGGATATAGGCATATGGTAGTATGGCAGGCTCTATGAAGTGCAGCATCAGGAAGTAGACAGCGATCAACAAAAAGAGAAAAGCCACAATAAATAGCAGAGCGACATGAAGGGTTAAATCCAGCTGAAGGAAAAACATTAGGTGGTCTTTGAATATTGAGCTATGACGGTAGGTACTTACCTTTTGGGGCAAAAAGATACCGATTATGACAAAGATAACTATGAGCACGACGCAAACAAAGAAAAATATGATCACTGGCACCCACTTAGTACGTGCGATCAGCGTGAATGAGCCAATGATTTGCAGTTCTACCTACATAAAAGGAAGATTACGTAAAAATAAAATTCACGTACTTTAAACTAAACACTTACAATCAGAATACTTAGTATGATGGCGGCTGCCGCTTTCCAACGTATTTTCTCCACAAACAAAAACACAGCAAAGAGTAGAATGGCAAGCAGAAACGCTACAATGCTGATATAATATTTATCAAGGAACATGTCCCTCATACTTTCGCTACGATGAGGCAATCAGTCATTTTTCAAATCTCTAGTGTTCGTTTGACTTACATCAGAGTGACCATCAGCCATTGTCCAAGAGCCAGTATCAGCCATAACACCAGCAGCAGATATACTATAAGTGAAAACTTTCGACGAGCTTTCCTATATGCATCGTAGGCAGGATCCCTGTGATTCATGGCTTTTGTGTCACCTAACCGGATCTTCTACATTCACTTCAACATCAATGCCATTCGCTAATTGTGTAATCGGAATAAATGAAACTTAACAATAATGATGTGTCTAATGTGTAGAGAAACAATAGAATCTTTTTTTTTCAATTATTTTAAAGTTTTTGAGAGTCACAGCAAACTTGATTTTGCAGCATATTGATCTACTTCAACTGTTTTATCATTAAATGCGCAGACGTCTTTTCTTTGCAGCTGCTGATGTCAGCTAAACTAGTCTCACAAGACAGCTCGGAGGCTTGCATAGACTATTTTTTGTATGTAGTGCAACTGAGGTATATACAGGAAGAGGCAGCGAGAGAGGAGACAGGGAAGCAGCTAACATATAGAGTCAACAAAAATTAACAGCATATGCAAAACAGCAACGACATAAGCAAACAACAGAAAGAAAAAAACAACAGCAATGCAGCAAACTGATTTACGCTTGTTTGGCAAATTTGAGTACGTAATGTGACTAGCGTAAAAGGCACAAAACACGGCGAACTGTCAACGCCAAGTGTTAAAAATGTCAAATAAATAATGCTAGAGCAGCAGCAGCAACAACAACTACATCAGTAACAACAGCAATGACAAACAAGTACACTAATGAGCTGCCTGATAAATGCAATGCAAACTTAAAACTTGAACCTCGCACGCAGCTCTCGATCTGTTAGAGCAAAAGTTTTCCACGAAGCGTATGCAAACAGCCAAAGCAGCCAACATCAACAGCAGCAACTCACCCACCCCCGCCCCTGTTGCCCATGGAAAGCCAATTTGCATACAAAACCGAGCCCAACCGAACCGAAGCCAAGTCGCTAAGCTAATGCCAGTCACAAGCCACGCCGTCACACGGGACGTATGCGCAACGCACGCACAGGTGAGCCGATAGGGGTGTAGCTGCCAGTGGGGGAGACAGACCAGGGCATACCCGCAGTCAACAAAAAGAATCATTTAGCGACACATTTGGCATATCAAAATTGGCTGCCCGAAATGTTCATGCGGCATTCAAAATCAGCTGCCGTGTGCGTCGTTTATTAGCTCCCAAAACTGACAACGAACGTCAGACGCCAGACGCCAGACAACTGACGATACAACGACTAGGCACTATATACCACATGCATATACTTATATATAGCGGCTACTATATAGTCAGTCTCACAAGTTCAGTTTCCATCTCGCCGTCTTTAGCTGACTTGCATGCAAAATTAATTACGAGCAAAATTTGTTTACGATGCTGACGTTGACGTAGACGCTGTTGCTTTCGCTGTCGCTGTCGCCGTCGCCGTCGCTGTCTCTGTCGCTGTAGCTGTCGCTTCTTCTGCTGAGCTTCCACCACGCGCGCTGCTCCAGCTATAAAAGTTTTACGTTTTAGCCCTAACCGAATTTAGAGCCATGCCCACTACAGAACCTCTGGCCAGTCCGTTTAGATACATTCTCATGGCCATTTGCGGCGAATGCCATAAAACTTGAAGTACCGCTGACATTTTTGGTGCTGCATTGCAGTGCAGACGACTCGTTGCGGTTTTTGCTGCACTTTTTACGAGCACTACATTTTGTGGGCCTCTGGAACACTGGCTGCTAGACGACACCGAATACAACAATCACAGTCACCCAGTCGAAAGTGCGAAATGAAATTTTAATCAGCCTCTGTTCGTGTTTATGATTTGGTTATAAAAATTTAAACTATTTCGCTGCCGATATTTCATAAGTAAAACGATGCAATTTATACTATGTTTGCAGAGTTATGGGCGATTTGCTGGTGCAACAAAATGCTAGTAGTGTAAAGAAAAAGAAAACTAAATTTTTAAACATTTTGTACACGAAGTGCCAATCCAGGTTTCTACTGTTTCCGATAACTGCATAGCAGCTGATAAAGTGATGGGTAACATTAAAATATTTAATGAGAAATTCGCAGTATTGAAATGAGTCTAGGTAATAGTTCAAATATAATATTAATATATAATATAAATATATAATTTAAATATATAAATATTTAGCTATAATTTAAAACTAAAAATTTTGTATCATCTCAAAATATTTTGGGTTTTTTCATTTTGCTCTTATTTGTTCCCATTCATATACTAAAGACATAAACTACTATTAAACTATTACTATTTTATGATCAACTATCTGAATTTACTTAACTTGTTTCCTTAAAATCTTGACCAAGAAAGATTAGACTCAGAGACGTGATATCGCTCAGTTAACACATGCAGATAACACCAAGAGACTACAAAGACGTGGCGTAGGTCAGGGTCGAATTGTAGCTAAACAAACAAAGATCTGTCTCGCTTTAGAGTTCAAAACAAAAGAACAACGCATGCCAACTAGTTGTTTAAGCAAGACAAATGCAAATATGTATTGAGGCCACACCGAAGATGTGTGGGGATGGAGGTGGACAGCAGCAAGTGCTACGATAAGGACCACACCGAGCATTTGATAAGGCGGAGACTGTGCCAAGAGCGTAGTCGGCGAGAAGAGCAGATAAAATGCTCATGGGCAAGTTCAAAGAGCCGACAAGGCAAGCGTCGTCACAGCATCAAACAAAGTGAGCAACAAATTAGAGGAGACAACTACCAAGAAATTCTATTGAATGAGTCTGGATGCGTTGTGGATGCCGTCGACGCTTGCGTCATCAAATTTGTAGCTGGTTATCAGCAGCAGGCGCTGACGACGGCGGCTGATAAGACCGAGTGAACTACAAAGAGCTAAAGCTGTAGCCAGCACATTCCGTAGCCCCGTGTGAGTCATCTGCCCCGACTGGAACGTGACCTAGCACTTTGGTCACTTTCCATAATCGCTTAGTTTTTACTTTTTCCTGCAGCGCATTTTCATTTTGTGTCCTTATCAATTTTACGACTTCCTTTGGCTTCGTCGGACAACTCGGACCACCGGCTCGTTGCAATTAGCCTGATTTTCGAATGCTGGGACCGTAGCCCGTGACTCGCTTTGGTATCTATATCTCAGTTAATTGATATTTATTGCTGCAACACGTTTTAAGAACTTTTCTTTTGAAATTTTTCGAAGCTACATTTCGTGTTTCTCAATCTTTTTTTATTGGCCATGGGAATTATGGAAGATTGTTTGACCTGAAATTTTATGGCTATATAGACCATTAGAAATTTCAATGAAACTCAATGACTCAGACTCCGATTTTAGACTTACGAAATTCATAGCTAGGATTCTATTTTATTTGAATTTACCTATTTAAAAAATCAATATTTCAACTTGAAATATTTCTAAAGATAACAAGGTCATAAAAATGCAACTGCAGGAAGCATAAGGAATACCTAGTGTCTCTCCATTTCAGTACTCGTACTCGTCAGCTGTCCAGAGCTCGAAGTCATTGGCTATCATATTTCTGAACACATTCATGCTGAAATAACCATGAGGAAGCAGTTTTTTCTGCTTCTTTTTTTGTAACTTAGAAGCACTTAAGAGGCTTCCCTCGAAAGGAAAATAAAAACATGCTCAGGATGTATCGAAAATTAACAATCGATGTTGGCTTGATTTATGAATGAGTTTGTTGTCAGGATATTTTCCACGGCATGATGCGCCACTTTGATGGGAGCCCTGCAGGAGTATTATGAATTGATGTACGTATGTCGTAGGACTACTTAAAAGTAAATAAATAATACAGGAAATTACATTCTTGTTTGCCAAGGCAATGTGTTGGCATGACTCGTCCAAAAAACTCTGAGATATGATATGCCACGGACAGGCTACTGTTGGGTAAATAGAGACGAAAAGGTAAGCAAACCTTAACGTGATAATGAATTATGGAGCTGAAAGGCTATTTATATCAGTGAAAGTGAACAGAAATATATGTAAATACATCTGATGTTAAATAGGAGGCAGACAACTTCTATTAACAGCCGGCCATTGATGCTTGAATCAACCTGTCTCGCTCTCTGGGGACTCCTTTTCTGCGCCACAGGAGCAGCAGCTCTATCAACTTGAGAGAGACCTCGGCTCTAATTTATGGCAGCTATGAATATGCATCCTGCCAAGCAGCAGGCATAGTTCCAAGTATCAACGAATAGAATTTTATAGTACTACACAGTGTGTGGCTGTTGCGTTGGAGTTGAAATTGCTCGAAGTTCTGAGAACCGATTGAAGACCATAATTATGCTCACGCTTGCCATTTTCTGAACTACTGCTACCTACTTGCTATCTGTCAATTGCAAAAGCAACACACAAGCCCTGGCAGACGCTCGCAAAATGAGCAAAACAATAGCCTAGAGCTGGAAGCTGAGTTAAGAGATGAGACAATGCATATAAGTAGGATGTCGAGTTACCGCTACCTGCGTCATGCAACTCCGTTGTCCTTGGCCGTCAGCCAGTTGCTAGTTACCAAATTCAATCTCTGCCTACGACACTGTCAATGTCAATCCTGCTCTATTCTCCGATGCTGACAAATCAGCAGGCAGGGCCAAAATTTATGAATAGGCGTAGGCTGAGCGTTAGGTTCTTTAGCCCAGAATGTGGCCTGCGCCTACCACTGATCGCTTCATTATGGAGCAGGACATGTCAATTTGGTTGGGTTCGGCGAATATGTTGCAACTGCTCACTTCCTGTGCCAGCGCAAGAACAATTCACAGATCTATCAATGGAACTCGATTCAGATAAATCAATTTGTCGTCTGAATGTCAAGGCATCTAAGAAAATATTTTTAATATTGCCCCAAAGTCAATGTCAAAAGCGGCTTAAAATTGTGTTGTGCCGTCGCAAATTGTACGCCCGACCATGTAATTTAGATTGATGTCCTTCTGCAGATATGACCCCAAGGGCAAGCGAAAGTGTCTGGAAAATGAACAAATGACAAATTTGCGTCCTTCAAGGAATTTTACCTTTTCCTTTTATTTTGTGTTTGCTAATTTTATGACTAGTTCGTGACCTAAACTAAGAGAGCATTCGAGTAGTAGATGGCAATAGTACTAGGTCCTGCATCAGGAGCTAGTCCTTGACTGCTCAAGTAACTTCACCTGTTACGCCGGCCGCATGTGGGCATTAAATTGGCTATCCACGACTCGCGACTGCCACGCTCGCTGCCCCACGAAATTTGGTTGCAGGTAAATAAAAACTGTACGTGCCCACGCGTCCCGTCAACTGTTTTTCCCAAATTTTGAGTGCCTTCGCACGTTGTTTTTTCCACAAAATTAGTTTAAAAGCATCATAAAATAATTTTCTGTGCGCGCGCTGAACATTTTTCGCGCTCGCATTTGCCGTTTTATTGCCGGCCAAGTTGAATGGCTTTTAACTTTTGAAAAATACCCTGTTGAATATACCTGTCCATAACTGAGTGTGTACTTTGGGCAAATCAAATTTCATAGGAATTTATTCTTCATGTTTTGATCTACAAAATAAAATTAGCAATCAGACTTTAAACAGAAATTCTGTTAGCTACTTCATTTAAAACGAATTCTGTCCCTTAATTTCTAGTGTAATTACTTACTAACTGCATCAACAGGGTGTTCAAAAGTTGAGCATTGTTGAGTGTGTCCTTTCATGCCTGTTATTTTACGCTCAGGTGTGTAAATGGATTTGGAGTATTTTTCGTTTTGGGCGCTTAGATAGCCCAGCGCCATCATCATGAATAGCGTTTGGCAATTCTGTTTTTCAAATGATCCGCTGCATGGCCGTCATAAAAGAGCCAAAGCCAAATTAGATTTATGCCTTGTTGGATATTTTTCACAGTTTTATGACGGCCAAAGGTACAAATCAAATTGTGCCTCGCACTCTCGGCGGGGTCACTAAATGGTAATTAGAGATACAATTTCTGCCGTGTATCAGGGGCGAATTCAAAGCTGATTATATGAAGTACTTAAAAGATTTTCATTTTGCTGAGTGCAGCTAGACTTACATCGATTGCTATTCTAATATGATTTGCTTTTAGGCAACATTTTGAAATACTTTTACTGCCTCATTATTACTCACTTTAAAATGATGTGCGTTTTCTGATCTTTATCTTCTTGCTAATTGTCCATGAATCATGTGTCCACAAATTAAGCTCGCATTTAAATATTACGTGTGAATCATAATGAGATAAAACTATGTAATTAAAAGATACTGACGTCTCTGCTCGTGAACTACTTTTGGCAAAGATATTCAGAATTTGATTCATTTTTCCAAATAAATTGTAATCTTCAAGAATTTATCCATATATTGTATCCTGCTTGTGGTGCATGAGTTTGTCCTTTGGCTCTGGCGTAATCCACACCATAATAGACTTAAGCAGCTCGCTTCCTCCCACACGTTATCCTTAAGATACAAATAGCTGTATATGTATATGGGAGTAAGCACAATCAGAAGAGCGGGCGAGACAAAAAGGCGAAACTCTTGTAATTTGAGAAACTTGTTTTCATAAACAGCGCTGCTGGCAACCTTCTTCTGTCTTATACAATATGAGGCCAGCGGCCAGTGAAAAGTATCTTGTATCTGGTATCTCAATGGGCTGAGCTGGCAGTGTGTGTTTTAATAGGAATTACGCTTAAAAATTTGTTAAGAATCTCTCAGGCTAAGCATGTGTAGCTGTGCATTCATGTTGCTGTACGTTTCCTGCTTTTAACAGCACATCCTCTGAAAACAATCATAGATCCTTAACAAACCACTTGCTTGAAAAAATACTTTGCAACTGGGCAATGCGGTTGAGGCGTCAACGTTTTAAGTGCGCTGCCATTCGCCTGCTCCGCTGCTAGTTTTCCTTGTAATGGGTTTTAATAACAATTTGCCGCAAATGTGACCAGGTTTTTCTTACTACTTCGTTCTGTTTGTGTAAATATAATTTCTTTAATTGGATTTTGTCGTCGTGGCGGCGAACATGAGCATTAAAAGCGCCGCAAAAAAGCATTCGCCAGTTGGCGGCGGCGGCGTCGGTGTGAAATTAAGAAGCAGTCAACGACAAAAGCCAGCCAGGCGGCCGCACAATCCGGCAGACAGACAGGCGGACGAACAGTGAACTATGCAGCTGGTAAAACCCGTTGAAGTAGCGCCAAAAAAAAAATAAATATAAACGCAACTTGCGGTTGGAGTGGACTCATAAGACCCTGCACACGCTGCAGACAACTTGTAATAAATAAAACTATTTTTATATAATTTAAATATTTTATTTTCTGCGTAGATTTTAACTTAGACTGCAACTTAAATCAAACGTTTCTATGTTGCTAATTAACTTAAGCGTAAAGCACTTCCTAACCTACATAACTCAATTTTTGGAACAATTTCTAGAATAACTAAAAGCAGGGTATACGTATACGTAATATGTTAAGCAATGGCCAGCGACAGGCGACAGCGCGACACGCTGTCTAACAATTTTAATTTTCAATTTCAGCTACGACGGACGCCGACGACGTCACACGGTTTCTAGTCACAGCTGAAGCCAGCTAAGGAAACAGAGACAGAGACAGAGACAGATATAGAGTTAGAGTCAGAGCCAGAGCCAGAGCCAGAGCCAGGCCAAAGCCGTAGCCACGTCCAGTTTTATCCGGCCCGTTTAACTGGGTCACTGGTGTCAATCGTTAGCTGCTGTTGTGCTGGTTCTGGTTGATGTTGTTATTGTTGTTGCTCTTGCTGTCGTTGTTGTTGTTGTCGACTTAATTATGTCGCAATTGCTTTGAAGTCGACTTTTGCAAATGTAAACCAGCAGCAGCAGGTGGCATTGCTCCACGGTCCGCGGTCCGCGGTCCGCGGTCCGCGGTCCACAGAGCCATTTGAAATTGCGCTTTATTCAATTTTTATGCCCGCTGCCACGCCCCCTGTCCTGCTTGTGCCCTTTTTTAGTGGCTGCAACATCGTTGTCACCACTTTAATTGGATTTGCCCCGCTGACGCGTGGCGTTGCCTTTGTCTTTTGCATTAGCTTTCCCCTAATGCTCTCCAGTCCTCCAAGACTTTGACGCCATCGTCATCATCATCGCCATTGCCATTTGCCATTCTCTCTGGCAGTAGCTAAAAAGC